CTCTCTCTCTCTCCCTGTCTCTCTCTCTCCCTGTCTCTCTCTCTCTCCCTGTCTCTCTCTCTCTCTCCCTGTCTCTCTCTCTGTCTCTTTGTCTCTCTCTCTCTCAAATAAATAAGATCTTAAAACAAAAATCCTGGGGTCCCTGGCTACCATCCCCGCCCCATCCCTGCAGGTGTCTTGGCTCCTTACCCCGAGGAGTCTTCACTCCCAGGCCCTGCGGAGGGCACGAAGGCCCTGCAAGGAAGGGCTCGCACACTGGTCAGCGATAGGAGGGGCTGCACTGGCCTCCCCCCGCGTTACCACTCTGCCACCTAATGCCGGTGACCAAGGGAGGTCTCAGACCTCCTGCAGAGTGGGGGTTCCCCCCACCGGGGTGTCCCACGGCACTGGCCAGGTCTGCTCGGGGTGGCCCACGGTGGATGGGAGACCAAAGGTGGGCCAGCTGGGGGCAGAAGGCCTTGACCTCGGGCAAGCACCGTCTGGGCCTCAGTTTCCCCTCCGGCACTGTGGCAGCCGGACTGGGAGACTCAGATCCCTTCCAAGGCCAGCAATCGGTGGCCCTGCGGCTTCCTGAGCTGTGGGGACCAGCGGGCTCCCCATGTATTTTTTAGGGCCTAAAAATAACCAGGAGGGGAAGGGTGTCTCTGAATAGCGCAGGAATGTGCCAGTCACTGCCCCACTCGGAACTGCCTCCAAATAAGGCTGTGGCAGAGCCGGAAGCCCTGACAGTCACTGCTCACGTCAGCCTCCCAGCTGTGCTGCTCCAGAACCTTCCCTCCCACCCCGGCCAGCCCTCAGCCCGGCCCCAAGGGTCTCCCCCAGACAGCACTCAGGTCCGGGGCCGGGCACGGGGTAGGGGTCCTGGGAGCCCCCTGTGGACCACAGCTCTTTGGACAAAGAGTAAGGAAGTTACAGTCATACAATCTAAGATTTACTCGTCTAGAAACTTCCATTTACATGTGTGGATCTTAGGACAATCCAATCCAGACCCCTTCCCCAAATCCCAGAAGATGGAAGTGCGGGGCCCCCTGAAGAAGATGCATGCTCTCCCCTGGCACCCTGGGCGTCCCCAGGAGCGGATACCCCGACTGGCGACGGGGGGCAGCTTGGAGTCCTGCTCAGACCAGGTGCAGGGCGCAGGCGTCCCCAGCTGTCCCAGGAAGGCAGAGGAGGTGTTGCTGGACTCAATATGGCTCTCTGGGAACACCATATGGATGCGGCCCAGGAAGGGGAGTCGGGAGGAGGCAGGACACAGTGCCCCCCCCACTGTATCCTCCCCTCTCCATCACAGGGAGTTCCCTTGGGAGGCAGGTGGCAGATGGGGTGGCCTGCAAGTCAGGGCTCCGGGACGATGCCCCTGCCTGTGACCTCAAGGGGCCTGTCCTCCTACCAGCCCATGCCCCGCCCCCGGCCGACTCTATCCCTCCCAGACCCTTTCCAGGCTCAGCGTCCCCCAGTCCTCAGAGGGCAGGCAGCTGACAGATGCCACCCCAGTCCCTCTAAACCTCCTGGAGAGATGAGAGTGGGTTTTGGGGAAAGCAGGTGGCAGAACAGGAAGAGAAGGGATGGAGTGGTGGTGGGCGGGGGCCACTTCACTGGAGGAGAGGAGACAACACGGCCTGGTGATGGTGCCCTGAGAGCCAGAGCAGGGACGTGACCCCCCCACCAAGGCCTCCTGGAGGAGGGGCCCAG